TTATTCTTAAATTATTTTTATTGCTTAATATCAAAGACTCACTATTAATGATAAAAATAAATATTGTATAATTTAAATTATATGATTTTTTTTTATATCAATATGAGTTCCTTATTTTTGCTGTCTAAAACAACTGGACAATCTCTAGGATAAGGGTTTGACTCTATTTAATGGTATAATTGTATAAGTTACACATATAAATTGTACAATATAATTGTGTATGAGTAGGAATTAATTTATAAATTTGATAAATTTATTAATTAATTTATATATTGTATAATACATTTTTGTAAGAGTTGGTGGAAGTTAAAAAAAATCTGATATGACCACTTAAGCACAGTTAAGAAAAACTTGATACTAAAATTGAGAAACTCCCAAATATGCCCTTGACCATGGGCAGTGACAAATTCATCCTTCAACTTTAAATTAAATGTAGGATAAATTTTCTTATTCAATAATTAAATTAAAAAAATAACATCAAATTTAATTACTGTTATCATATGCACCTGAATCTCAAGACCCAATAATTATAAGTTGAATTAAAAAATACTTGTGTTTGGATTCCAATTTTCCCATCCCAAATGCATATCCATTTAAAAAATAATAATATTGTTATTATATAATATCACTTTTTTATTATCATTTTACTTTTATTTACGTGGCACTTTTCTCTATATATATCAATGGTAACAAAAAGTTAATATTATAAGATGTTACTAATTAAATTTAAGATAATTTATTTAATTCAATTAATTTATAGTGTGATTTATTCTATGTTTAATTTAAAGATGAATCTATTTTTACAAATACTTAGGGCCTGTTTGGTATAACGGTTAAAATTCAACGAATAGCGGATAGTGGGTAGCAGATAGCGGGTAGCGGGTAGCGGGTAGCGGGCGGTGGTTAGTGGATGGCGGATGGCGGATGGCAGATGACGGATGGTAAATAGCGGATTCGATAAATATAACTGTTTGGTTATACAATAATTAGTGGTTATTGTTTAATATTGAATGACTAATAAGGACATGTTTAAAAACAAATAAGTGTATTTTTTAAAATTTTTTTATTTTTTATTATTAAAATTATTAATT